TAAAACACATTTGGCCCATTCAAATGTCTAGCAATCTTTCCAGTTACAATGGCTACCTCTTTCACTCTAGTGAAATATATTATAGATAGCACCATTTCCCAAGTCCTTACACTTTCTAGAAATGGTATGAAAATAAATAGATCAGAGAATATCCTTCTTTTATTTGAAATACTTTGACTCAAGGAGTATCTAGTGACCTGCTTTCCTTCTTTATCCGGATTCTTTCCTGTAGGATGTATCTGGCTAATATTAAATCAATTTTTTTAAGTTTTCAAAATATAATTTCCACTTGGAAAAGAATTATTATAAAGTACAAATCAATTATTAATAAAAGAAAGAGCAGAGACATTCACATAGACCCGGTAGGGTTTAATCTGGAAGCGCTTAATTGAAAGTTCTCTTATCGGCCTAATAATAGAGAATTATAATGACCTTGACTTAACAGAGACAGAGACAGTATCTATCTTTCTTAATGGGATGACTAGAAGCAGAAGTCAAGTATCTTAACTGGATGTTACACAAATGAAATATAGGAGTATGTGTAATGTAGCAATTTTAGAAAATTCACAAAGTTGAAAGAAAAAAATAGTTGTAAGCCCTATTAGCCTTTTTTAATTTAGCTCCTTTTCTGAATTAGGACCCTATTGTGTGCTCAACTTTAGAATTTTATTTACTGATTTGCAAATATATTTTGATATAATGAGCATTTTCCTATCCTTAAAACATTTTGAAAATTCATCCCATCTACAGAGATGCTCTAATTTATGTAGACATTTAAATCCAGACTTTTTAAATGCTATTACAAATAAATTTGTGGTGTAAGTCATGTCTACAATAAGAAATCTTCACATACATTTCTGCAGGCAAGATTCTTACAAATAATATAAGGCTTTTGAAATACACTGGAACATTACCTACGGAAATCGTTTACCAAAGTGCAGTCCCTCAACCGATACACAAGAATATGTGCTTGTACGTACTGAGTACGGTATTAACTTTTAAAAAACATTAAATATATAATGGGCAAAAAATGAAAACAAACAAAAATCGCAAATGCCTAATTAATTTTTACATTTGTTTGTGAGGCTGGTGTCTTTCATGTTATCGGTTATCTGTGGTCCAACCCTTCTCCCATTTCCCCAGTGGAATGTCATTTCAGCCAGCGTTAGCCTTATTGACTGCGTGACTTCTTCAGGTAATTAACTCTTTGGCATATTTGTTGTTCAGTTTGGTCACAGTTTGCCTTTTAATTTTCTTTCTCATTTATGACATTCAGATCACAAACAATGCTGAATCAAAACTGTTTATATTTTTCCCTTCCATTGTTTTTTTTCTTTCTTTTGGCTCGCAAGTTCCAATGAACTGTTGACATAAATAAAGACATAATTTTATTTATTACTTTCCTTAGGATTTACTTATTTACTACATTAACTTTTAAATTGACTGAGAACAACTCTCAGTGTATAGTAATAGAGGTAAAAATACACTTTTGATTTTGTTTACCTGATAGTCAAACCATTTACTGAATCACTGGTGCCTCATTTTTCCTCTGATTCATGAACCCATCATCTTCTTTACTAAGCCTCACTATAGATCGGGAATTGTTTTTACCAATTAGCCTGTGGATAATCCATGACTTTAAAATATATTTAAAATTCAGAAAAAATTCATTTTCACTGTTTATTTATTGTTCTTTTAAATCCCCCTAACAAGTTATTTTCAAGGCCTTATTATTCTTTTTAACTTTTCATTCATTTTCTTTATAATTTCCAGTTATTAATGCTACAAATGTTTCTTGAAAAAAATTAATATACATAAACCAATAATAAAATCACAAAGGGAAAAACATCATTCACCACCACCTCACCTCACCTGCTCCCGAGATTAGGGCACTGTCTTTATTTTTGATTACACACTTTCAGTATCTCTATCATGAGTAGTTTGATAGCTTTGTTACTATTCTTTCTCGCCAAGGAAACAGACGAGACTAGCGCTTTTATAAGCCTGGTCTATTTTCCTGACATAGTAAAATATGTGATGCAGTTTATCATAGGATTGTGATTTTTTAAAAAAATCTAGAAAATATAATCTTAATTTATTTCAGATTTCAAAGTCCAATCTTTTGAGGCAAGTCAAAAATGAGCTATTGAATAACCTAGATTCATATTCAAGCCTTTATATTGCTGCTCTGATCGACTAAATAGTGTCTTATTTCACTGAAACAAAATCCAGTACTAAGATGTCATAAAGATACCCCTGGTAGCAAGCCAGTCACTCTGAAGCACTTTTTTTTTTTTCAGTAGGTCCTAATGACGAAGTATTTAACTTACTCCAAACATATTACAAAGTGCTGTGCCATTTAATTTTTAAATTCATTTCTGTATGTATTTATTCAACAGAATCTTGGTGATAGGAGGTACTCAATATACATTTATTGAATGAATGAAACATACTACTTAAATAGAGTGCTTTACAAAGTGGCACAGTATTAATAACTACATGGAAATTTTTAGAAGTGGCTGATGCAAGAATCTATGTAAGCCTTTTATTCACAGCTAAGCCTGGGAGATGAATAGCAGGCACATGTGAGGTGTGATTTATTCATACATACAAGTAGGAGATTTATAGGCATCTATTAACCTACTCGAGTTCTGATTTTGTCTTAGGCTGGTCTTTTGTCATGATTAGCTATGTTGTGAGTCTATGTTAAATAACAGGCTGTCTGTACAGAAATATGTAAGACCTATGAAGACAGAGAAATCCAACATTATGACATATGTACATCATCCTAGTTAAACCATATTTTATACATATGCATGTGTGCATCAGCTCATAGGTGTTTAAAACAATAGACCTGCAAAAAAGCAAAGGATTGTTTTCTGGACCTGGGTCTCATTGTTACAGACTGAATTGTGTCTCAAATAAATATATCCTATGTTGAAGTACTAACCTCCAGTACCTCAGACTATGAGTAGATTTGAAGAAAGTTCTTTACAGAGGTAATTTTGTTGAGAAAAGCTTATCAGGGTGTGCTCTAATCCAATATGACTAGCGCTTTTGTAAGAAGGAATTTGCGCATAGACATCTATAGAGGAAACATGAAGAAACAGAGGTGCAGCTCCTTGGCCATCTACAAGCCAGGAAATGAGGCCTCCAGAGGCTCCAACCCTGATAACACCTTCAACTTCCTACCTCCAAAACTGTAGACGATAAATTTCTATTGTTAAGCCCCTCAATCTACAGTATTCAATTACAGCAGCCTTAGAGAACTAATACACCCATGAACAAATAAAGAATACAGAAATACCATGTGTTGAAAAAGAATAGGCCATTATTTTGTTTATTTTGACATTCCAAGTTTTGGAAAAGATGACTCTTCTCAACCTGCATTATGGTGGGGCCCAATCTGATCCTTCCTCACTGATTTAGCTTATACTTCTGATTCATCTGTTCACAGCAGTTGATTAGGAATTCAAACTCGATTCATCAGATTGCCCACTGCCCCATGATGATGTCATTAGATTGGCTAAGCTACCTTTGACACATGGTTGAGTGTCAAAGAGCATGGACACGCATCATGCTTTGAAGGGATAGCTCATTCCTGACTTTCCCTTGAGGCCTTAAAGTCACCTGTGTCCTCGTGAACACAGTCAATATAGGGAGAAGAGTATGAAGAGGAACAATCTCCACTTCCCTCCACCCTAACCCAGGTTTGCAAGGGAAAGAAATAGAGGGCAGATTTTGTAACTAAAATCTAGGGGTAAGCAGAATGAGACATCTAAAGTCACATGAACACAACATCCCAAAGGTGAAGAAAGGTCATGTTTCTATTTGGCCTGACATAGGACATACGATAACTTTTACAGAGCCCTACTAACATTTATTGACTCTTCCCAGCCTGTGCTGTTGCCCATTGTACCAACATGTCCTCCCATGGACTGATAACAGTTCTCGGTAGCAGGCAGGATTTGCTGTCCTGTTCTAAGTTCATCACTACAAGATGCATTTCTCTGCATCACCTTAATAAAATAATATCGAAATAAAGTTTTATAATAGCAATACAGAGAAAAAAGTCATAATTGTTCATGCTTCACGATTTGGAATAATTAATTTAATAACCGTGTCACAGGAGAAGAGTAAACAAAGAGAAGGGAAGGGGTGTGGATAGATAAGATCACTGAAGCAGATACAATTGCAAAGAAACAAATCACCAGAATAGCTCTGGAAAGAAAAGCTTGGTGGGAGATATTTTCCAGACACTAACGTACTCCTTCCATTGAGCTTTAAAGCTGCAGCATCTACAAGGGCACTGTTTATCTCCATTTGTTTTCATTTTTAGTACTATAACCTTCTGTCTCTAAGAATCAATTAAACACCTTCCTAATCTCTGCTGGGAACTTCCTCCAAGTAGTTCTCTACCTAGACTATAACAGGAGTAGGATTTCTCACAACAACTAGCTGCAGAGTGTTTTGTCATCAGCGATGTTAAAGAAAAGTACTAAAATTAATAAAGGAGGACAGAATATAAAAAAATGCAGTTTTCTCTGAACACAGTTACACTCTCCTGGGTTTGGTTCACAACCACCCTGAGACGCTAAAGATCTTCTGTGAGCCGTGGGCTTCTGCTGGCCCTCTGTAGGTTCTCAAGAACAGATTATTTCTGAGCATCAGTGCAGGTGCCTAAGTCGGGCGCCATAAACACAGGCTTCTAAAGGGTGTAAATAATTCGTTCCATTAAGTTGACAGATATAAAAAGAAATTTGCCTTTACTTGGCCAGAAAAAACGTAAACCTCATCTATTTCATTTCCATTTTATCTTCCTCCGTTGTTAAAGTGATAACAGCCTTGCCCGCCCCGATCCACGTAAGACTCTGGATTCTGCCAGTGAATCCGCTGGACTGTTGGCCACCGCGACCTGATGTCCTCCCTGCGCGACCCAGCCCTCCCCCTCCAGCCCCACCGAGGGCCTTCCCGGTCCCCCAGTGGCCACAGAGACTTACCGACAGTGTTTGTGGGATCCGGTCAGGGTTTCGATCACGAAGCACTCGCCGTCATTGAGGCAGTAGGCGAGGTCCTTGTCTCGGCAGGGTTTGAAGTGCTCCGACCGCTCCGTGGAATACGTCGTGGTGTCTGTGAAGGGAAGCACGTCGGGAGAAGCTGTCAGCAGTGCCTGTGACACCGTGGACTGCGGTCCCTGCCCTTCTCCTGGGCCCTGACCCCGGGGACCCCCCATAGGACCAATCCTCCCAGGTGCTCACCAAAAGTAGCTGGTTATAACCCTGCATTGTAGTGTCTTATTTCCCGCCTAGATTTTAACAATTGGAGTCCCTCTCTCCAGAAGCCCCATTTAAGGACGCCTTGACACGTGTCCCAGAAAACTGAATGACCCGGAGTTAAACACCCCAAATCTGCTCTCATAATTTTCAGTTTTAACACACATGTTGTTGGAAGGATTAAAAGGACAGTCCCATCCCTTGATTGTTGTCACATGACACTAAACATCTGATCCACATAGACTGTGACTATTCTGCGGAAACCACGTCAGTTTTTTTTCTTTTTAGTTAGAGCTATAATTGGCTAATAGTTAAGCCAATTATTCTTTCACTTTCTCCTTTTATGATATTATGCAAATGTTTCAAATATTGAAACAGATTCTCAAACGTGAACAATGAAAGATGTCTTTGGTAAATGTTTAACAGGACCAATTATTGTTACTTTTTAGCATTATCTTAAACATGTATTTTTAAAATCTAAATTACTTACACTTTTAAATGAAGCAATACATGTATATCACCTTTCCAAATACGAAACTAACCATAAATAAGTACTATCTACAGGATACAGACTCCATACTACACACAGACATTATCCCAGTTTCAGAGTTTCAAGCAACGCAAGTATTAGCACCAATTCCACTTCCACATTCAAGAAAAATATATATTGAAAAAGTAAAAGATGAATAAATTATTCAGCATTTAAGTTTTTTAATTGTCTTTTCATGGATATGGATTAATAGTAATGTTCAACTACATGGCATATAATGCCAGCTTACTAATTACTACAGTTTGAATGTGTCTCCCCCAGTTTCATGTGTTGGAAACTCAATCTTCAAAATCATATGTTGCTAGTTCTTGAAGGTGGGGCCTCAGGGAGGTGATTAGGACAAAATAAAGGTTGCACAAAACAGGCACATTTTCTGTTTTCCAGAAGCTTTTCTCTACAGCAAAGATCAGATATTCAAGACAGTATGTGATAAACAGTCACACAGAATAAATCTCTCTACAGGAAATACTTAAAATTCAAGAGCTCTGAGCAAAAAATTCAATAAGAAGCATTGCATAGTTGACTGCTACTCTGACTGCTGAAGTATATTAACTCATGATCAGTTAGTTAACTTTTCTTTTAATTTCTTATTATCCATGTATTGATATTCACTGATCATTCTTCTAAGAGCAGCCTTTCATTAACATAACCTACAGCATAAAAAGTGAGATCCTTATTTTTATCATCAGTGGTTTTAACAAGCTCCAGACTTCAAGTGCAATACAATGGCAAAGCAATTACAATCAATTAATTTCCATCTGACAACTGCTGTCTCTAGTGGTTACCGCCCCATTCTACCAACTGATTTCCCCATCTTGTTATCCTTTGTGAACACATTACAGAGGATTAGAGACCCAAGTAAATGGCTCTGCAAAACGATGGGGTGAGAGAGCTCAGAATATCAGGCTTAACACATACTCAGGTTTCTATTCCCATAGCTTAGAGAATCCCAAAATTAATTTAAAATATGCATACATGTCCCTCACGGTGACTTAGCTGGGTTAAAAAAAAAGAACACCATTATTCAATCTTTCAAATACCTTAATAAAATAAAAATATTAGAATGTTAGGTTTTGTCCTCATATAAGTAAATAAACTACAATTATCTATATATTGGGAATCTTACAATTTACCTGTGCATTTGGCTATATTGTCTCCAAATAGTACTAGTCCACTAAATTCACAGAGGCACTAAGCAAAGTAAGTTAAAATCATCATGAGGTGAAACTTCACTCTTGAAAGTCATCATGTCAAAGACAGGGATGGAAAGATAGCAAAATTCTAGATCCTTGATGAAATCCCTAGGTTTCTAACTCTAAGACCACCTACCTCGACTTTTAAAAAATAAATAATGAGCAGACTGGGTCTAATTCTATTACTTTACAACCAAACATAGCCTAACAAAGAAACAGTAATAATATTGAATGACACCCTTCAATATTTGTGTGTCTTATAAGTGTATGTATTTATATATACATACATATATTTGTTTAATTTTTTAACATACTAGATATATTATAAGATATATAAAATAGAACACATATAAAAAAGAAATATCAAGTGTAAGGTGAAATTCTTTATTAATATTTTCTTTCTGTGCCCTACAGTGATACAGCATGCTTTAATAAACCCAGCAGAGTATTTTTTTCTACAGGAGAGACATAGGGCATTTGTGAGAATGAGATCATGGATGATCTAATGTCAAACTATAAAAGTTACAGCCCTGGCAACGTGGGTGCCTCTTTGTGATCAGATATAGAACTCTCATCTGTGAATGTATCCAACACATTTGAAACCTGTTTATATTTTTCAAATGCTGTACCATTTTTAAGACAGTCCATTACACCAAGATGATTACAATATATGGTACTATTTTGGCAGGAACTTATTCAAACTTTTGTTTCCAGGAATATAATTTAGTAAGTAAATATGTTAACAGAGCTATTGTCTTTGAAAATTATATGGATGAGTATCTGTTTAAATAAAGAAGGAGAAGCCTAATAACTCCTATCAATTCCCTTCGGTCTTTCAAGTCTTTCTTTATGTTCCCTTATGCCAGACTGGGCCCGCCTATCAAATATCATTCTCTCCACACACAGCAACTTACGCACGTCCTATCTGATTGGATGATGAGCTCCTAAGGAACAGAGCAAATCTTCACATCTTTAATCCACGGTCTTATGGACAGGTTGACACTGATATGTACACAACAGAGGTTTACAAAAGGATGACTTTTTATACTTCAGCATTTTTTTAAACATTCATGTTGAAAAGTGTTATCATAAATAGAAAAACTCTATTTAAAAAAATATCTGGGAAATGAATAAATGTTTAGAAGTAAGATATGAGAAGAGCTTCAAACAATTTAGGTAAAGCTTGAGGAGTTTTATAAGTGAAAGAAAAATCAACTCCATAGCATGGAGGGGAAGGAAGGAGAAAATAACACAAAACAAAAAAATTGGAAAAGATTTTCTAAAAGAGAAGGACACGAAGGGTAAAGAAATGTTAGGCTTAAGATGACCAGAGATGGCGCTAAGGAAGGGCCATGTAAGCACCATGACCAAGGTCAAGGGCTTAGCTGGAACAACTACTGCTGCTGTCCTGAGGGTAGTGTCCCATCACTTAGGACCACAGGGGTGGTGCAATTATCTGGACCACTCATCTGATACGTATTATATGTAGGTTTCTGTGTTTTCTTATTTTTAATGGGTTTTGGTCTCTCTCCCCAGGGAGGTCGCGGAGAGTGCTTTGCTTTTAAGTTTCATATTCTTTTCACATCATGTAGCATCCATAGTAAGTAATCAGTACAGTAATTAAACTCACAGTGAGAGGTGGCGGTGGTTAATTCATTAAAGGCAAAATGGGAAGAAAACGTAGGGCTGGAAGACAGAAATCCCTGCAGAGTTTGCAATGAAAGTTAATTTATTAATGAAGTAAGACGATGACTGGTTTTCCCCGTAAGTGCTGAGCTGAACCTGAATGCTACTTACGGAGGTTTCTGTGTTGTCAGAGCAATGCTGCACACTGCGAACACATATTTTGTTGCAGGAACAAGAGTGCTAAATTGGCTATTACAGATAATAATTGCAGTAGATAGTCAAAGAAAGGCAGAGCTTAATTCGGGCTATAGTTATCTCCGAAGGTTTCCCAAAGTGTTGGCACCGGAGCGCGGCCTTGAATATGTATGATTTAGCTGACACGAGAGGAGGGATTCTGGGTGGGAAGAGCAAGCTCATCTAAGGGAGGAAAATGATGAGACGCACTGTAGACCCTGAATACGCTCCTCACAGTCCCAGCTTGCAAATGTCAGATTTCTTAAGTAGGTTTTATCTTCCTCCAGTGAGTTCGTGACATGACGATTCTATAAGAAAAGTTAAAAATCTGATGATGCAATCTAAAAGCATTTACAATTAACACAATACCTTTAAAGCCAGAAGCCATTTAAACGTGGTTGCCGAATCTGGCGGCCTCTCCTGTGGGAGCAACGTGAGGGAAACCTGCAGCCATACATTAAAATTTCCTGTTGAAGCTGCCACTTATCAGACACCCAGGAAGGAGCCCTGACATGAGGCCGAGCTATAAAATATTTAATAGTGAAGGAAAATTGTAAGAAGAATGTAGTGGTGTTTGAAAGGGAAACAAACCATTTCTCAGCTGGCAAGAGGCAAAGATAGCTTTCTCCCCGCTGCCAAAGATCAGATGATTGTTCACTTTGCTAGCATGAGAGAGATGGGCAGTGTTGGGCAAGGAATTTAAAAGTTCAATGGAGTCGTGGGGCTGCTGGGAGAACTGACATTTCCAGATGTATCCCAGAACCATTAATTCTCACAGCAAATGTAGGAAGGGCCCTTGCTAAAGTTGCGTGACATACTTGCCACCTTCTAGTCTGAAATCTTGCTTTTAAAAACGCTGTTCCTGCATATTTAAAACTGCACAGGACATAGTCCATTCAAAGGGAATGCTTTTATTTGGGAATTGCAGGACGAATTTCCCTTCTACCTGCTGGCAAACACGTGCATATACAAACTGCTTTCAACCATAATAATAATAACAGCAGTGATGGTTACTGTGCATGCCAATAATTCTCAATTTTATCTGAAATTTGAGCCTCCAGCTCCCCATTTTCAGTACAAAGGCCACAGTCATCCGTTCAAGTGTCTCATGTCCCCTGAGGCCTTTGCACCTGGTCCCCTCAGCAGCCGGCCAACCTACACCCCATACACGCTCAGCAACCATCTTTAGATTCCATCCAGAGTACATATTACAAGACAGAGAAAATTCAGCAAAAGTTAAATTCCCATTAGATA